GCGTAAATTTATGCTTGCTGTTTTGTTTCCTTTTGCTACATTATTCAAGTGTAATAGTTACTATACGATTTATAAAAGAATTAACGATCAGTTATTAGCTTAATAGGATATAGCATAGTATAAAGTCCAATACTAGATCATATGAAAATTAAAGTTTAGACATATGAAACATATGAATTATAGTAAAGTTTGGTAGTTTAAGAATAAGTTTTAGCTGAGTTATAAGGCATTACGTTAAATCGTAATAGGTTAATAGTATAACTGACAGTTAAGTCATTTAAGTAAACTTACAGATTATAGTATAGTGTTAAGTTGATAATATTAATTGTTAAAAATATTGGGAATCAGTGAACTTGGATTGAACCTAGAGTTAACTCAGGAAAGTTTTTTGTATTAATCAGGGTATAGAGCAAAGAGTATAATATGAATGATTCATTGAACATTATGGAAAACACTTTGAACGATTTGTATTGAAATTGTGCACCTGTGACCTTAATGTAAGCATGGTAGGCATCATGGAATTCGAATTGTTTGCTTGGAAATTGCAGATCTCGTGGTGGTCTTGTGATGCATAGTTTGTAAAGCACGAAACTTGTACGCCCCCAGTGAGTGATTATCACACTGCTGGAGGGTATAGAAAATGGTATATAAGTTGGAAGGAGTCCGAATAAAAGTTGGCTCCAGTCTTGATCAGACTGTTCCCAGAAGAACTGCCTCCGAGTGGTCTTCTCGCTGTCCAGATTCTCTGGTGCGGGTCCTAACCCACCCTTGGTCAGTGCTAGTCACCGACAATATGGCATTTACATTTTAGTTTGATAGATACAGGCACCTGTCTAGAGCAAACAAACATAATTTTCGTATAACCTAAGGAAGCAATGTAGTGTAAGTAACTCATTAAACCCTAACAGGTATGTTATTTACCTGAATTAGAGCCAAGGGTTTTTCTCGGCTTCTAATAAGAGCTGCTTCCTGTTGTAGTTCTTCTTCTACGATAGATGCGAAAGTGACTGGGGCTACCATGGAAGAAGCAGTCATTGAAGAAGACAGCCAGGGACTGCAAGAAGAAGAAGATGAATGTCACTCTTCTTCCTGTATTTTTGCAAGCAAAATTTCCTCTGAAATATGCTTTGGCAATCCTACATTTTTCTTTTCCTGTGACCTATAATATAAGGGGATCTGGAAGCTTTTGCAAAGATTACAGAATGATGAAGTGAGAAAGAGAAAAAAACAAAACAAAACTAATATTTTATTTGGGTAAGTGTTACAGAGAAAATTTTGGAGAATGTCTAAAAATGGGGATAGAGTAAAAACAACATAACTATACAGAAAGGGAACTCAAACTATGGAACAGAGAGTATTCGAATAATACATTCACTCAATACCATTCTATTCCCAATTTCTTAACATTCTCTTTCAGTGCTAAGGGGCCGCCCACAGCCAATCAATTACACTTACTTGGGACCGTCTAGAAGGGGTAAATCTGAAATGTGGCTGCCTTCTGGTCCTGTGGCACAACGGGTAGAGCATCTGCAAAACAAAGGCCAAAATTGAAGGTCAACATTTCAAGTAATAGTAACAAAACTTCTTATTAATAGATACAGAGGAAGAACTGTAAGCTCCTCACTCAGGAGACAAATTAAATGAGTGCAATCAGGCTTACCTTTAAAACATAAGAAAACACAATAGTCTATAGATACTTATAAAATTATGTGTATAAAACACAATAAAGATCTTGCAAGAAATAGCCTATTTTTGGAATAACACATTATATATATATATATCAGATAAACAAAATATATAAAAACCAAATTATTAACAGTCAAACTTTTGTGGGCAGTTAATAAACTTTGATAAGGAATTCCTAATTTATCAAAGTATATTAATAGGACAGAAACAGAGCTGGGCTCGGCGGCTCAGCCTGTAATCCCGCGCCTTTGGGAGGCTGAGGTGAGTGATTGCCTGAGCCTGTGGGTTCGAGACCTCATCTCTACAATAAATCAAAAAATCAGCCGGGCATGGTAGTGTATGCCTGTAATTCCGGCTGCTTGGAAGGCTGAGGCAGAAGGATCGCCGGAGCCCAGCAGGTGGAGGCTGCGGTGGCCAGGAGCGGCCACTGCACTCCAGTCTGGGCGACAGAGTGAGACTCCAACTCAAAAAAAAAAAAGGACAGAAACAGAAAACATGATCTCTGTCTTCTAAGAGTTCAGAAACTAGATGAGGCGTGAAACAATATATAAAACGATGTATTTAACAATGGAAAAGAATTTAAGACAGTATCTAACAAACTGAGTTAACTGCCTATAAAGACTATAAAACCTCAAACGTTCTGTCACTTGAGGGGGGGTCTCATGGAAAAGAAAGAAGTCCAGAAAACAGTAATAAAGAGGTATAATGATGAAAGGGGTAGGAAGCATTCTAGTAAGGGGAAAAACTAAAAGAGGTACTACAGAGACTGCCTAACTTAACATTTTAGAGCTAGAAAGGTCCCTAAAGATTTATCTAGATTAACTCCATACACGTCTTCAGCAATAAGCAAGCTGGCTTAACAAACAATTAACAATAAGAAGTCAAACGGAGAGTAAATGAACATGGCCTAAAATACTGATGTCCTGATTCATTTATGCATATTTTTGAGCATGTGCTTGCATTATGATAGGTACTAAAAGGCTGATTAAAACTCAATCACCTCCCCTCAATAAATTCTGGCAGAGAATATTTAAAAATATACTTAAGCAATAAAACAATGCATGAGTATACTGTAACTAGTATGTACATTAATATGTTCAAAGTACTATGGATTCATAGAAGAAAAATTAACATAACATAGAGGATGGTATACACTAGTGGCTTCACTGAGGGAATTATATTAAAGCCAAAGAGAATGGCACTTAGAATTTTGGTTGTTAAAAATACATGAAACTGTAAAAGATTTTGCTGATTTAAGTAAAGGCGGGCTGCTCTCTTCAATAAACAAAGAATGACTGAATTCAAGGTAAGAAAGATACTTAAAAGAGAAATACAGTTAAAAACAAACAATAGGGTCAGAGTATAAAATGCACAGAAAGCTAAAATGTTTAGTCCTGATGTGTGGGTGACAAATTTACTAATAGGCTAAGTACCTCGGACATATTATCTCAATTAATTTTTGTAATACCCTATAAAGAAAGCATATATTGTTTTCAGCATATAGATTAGGAAACAAACTCAAAGAATATAATTTGCCTAATTCACAAATTAGATAAGTATCAGAGAGAGGAAGAGAGGGAGAAAAAACAAAAATCCAGGTATACCCGACACAGCGGCATTTATTTTCACTATTTCCCTTAGTCTAGAGCATATTCCACTTCATATGTCTTCTTATTCTTTAAGGATTGGCTCAAATATCACTTCTCTCTCCTACAGAACTTTAATCACTATTATAAAGCTTCACACTCATTATTGTTTACACATCTGTCTTAACTGCTAGACTAATCTTGCAGGGTACAGAACTATGTTTCATTTATCTTTTTATCTCAATATCCGGTGGAGTATCTGGAACATAGTTGCTTATTAAAAAGTAATTAGAGTATAACTGATCGAACCAGAAATTTAAAGTACTTTTTTTAGTATGAGATTTTTTTAAAGCAGAGGTGTTATTTAAGTTCCTTATTATTTTAAATTAGTGATAACTTTTCTTCCAGATGTAGGTACTAAACTATAAAATCAAATGAGAATAGGTCTAGCTATAGGGTTCTTAGTTTTAATAAAGTGTTGTCACTTGAAACCTGCTGTATGTTTACCTGACCTATGACACCCAAAATAAGAAAAATCTCCAGAATGAAGTAGAAGATGACTTCAAGCCAGGAGGAAAATAAAAATAATAAAAAATAAAACAAACAGCTAGAAAGCGATTGGGATAAACTTGCTAGGAGATGATGAGAATCGACACTAGAATGAGTATAAAATAAATGGAAAGAATTCTACATTATGATGGAACAGAAAATCACCTTAGACCAAGACCAAATACAAATATCCTGGGTTAAGAGTCCCATGGAGGGTCTTTTTTTTTTTTTTTTTGAGTTGAAGTCTCACTCTGTCGCCCAGACTGGAGTGCAGTGGCCGTTCCCAGCCACCGCAGCCTCGACCTGCTGGGCTCCGGCGATCCTTCCGCCTCAGCCTTCCAAGTAGCTGGAATTACAGGCATGTGCTACCACGCCCGGCTGATTTTTTGATTTATTGTAGAGATGAGGTCTCACTACCCAGGCGAGTCTTGAACCCGCGGGCTCAGGCAATCCACTCACCTCAGCCTCCCAAAGGCGCGGGATTACAGGCTGAGCCACCGAGCCCGGCATGGAGGGTCTTAAAGTCAGCCCAAGGCTAGAGATTAGAGGCTCCTAGGGCATTAATGCATAACACAGAACAAGTACAAATACATGATTTGCTCAGAAATCATCCTCATGTTCAGAAAATCAACTAAAATACTTTTACTTTCACAAAAGTATTGTAGTATTTAATTGCTAAGTAAGAGGCAGCAGCTAGAAGCTCTCATATATTATCTCATTTAATCATTGCAATATCCTATATTGGAAAATGGTACATCACTAACAACACTGAATATTAGAATAAAAGTGTTATATACAAATGGATCTTGTTAAATCAAAGTGAGTCAGCCAAAGCTTAAGTATAGCAACTTATTTATGTAACATTTTCTAATTTATAAAGTATTTTTGTATGCACTATCTGATTTAAGTCATATAAATATCAGATAGCATATCATATACAACTACCTGATATAAGTAATAAACCTGTGTGATAGGTATTACTCTCACTTCACATATGATGAAACTGAAGTACAGAAAGCCTCAGAAAAGATTTTAATTTTGACTGAAAAATCTGTTTCCTAAGAGTGTAATTTCAGAATTATTTCCTCTAATGATATTCAATAGGTAATCTAATTATAAATGTTTCCAAACAACTTGAAGTCTGTTAACATTTCATCTTAAAATGAAAATTATTTATTAAAGAGCTATAATTAAACAAATATCAAAAACAGTCTAAGCTTTCAAAAATATATAGCATCAAGTTTTAGATAGTATCAACACAGTAGATACCCTAAGAGACAATCTGTATAAAGTTTATCCTTCTGAAAATAAAAAGCTTGCTTGAGTCCAGGAATTCAAGACCAGCCTGGGAAACATAATAAGGCCTTGTCTCTACAAAAGACTAGGTCAGGCGCAGTGGCTCATGCTTGTAATCCCAGCACTTTGGGAGGCAGAGGCAACTTGGCAAAATCTCTCCTGTACTATAAATCAAAAAATTAGCCAGGTGTGGTGGCACGTGCCTATAGTTCCAGCTACTTGGAAGGCTGAGGTGGAAGGATCACCTGAGCCCAGCAGGTCAAGGCTGCGATGGCCATGAGCATGCCACTGCACTCTAGCCTGGGTGACAGAGTAAGACCAAAAAAAAGAAGAAGAAGAAAATGAAAGCAACATAAAAAGGCTAACTCAAATTTTCTTTAAAAGAGTTTTGTTCAAATTGAAGACAATATTTTCAAATTTAGACTTTAAGAGAACTAAATTATTCTTTGCTCATACAGGTGGCCTTCAAAAAAATTGCACTAGTTTAAAAAATTTTTTTTACACTAGCTTAATTACAAACATTAGTATATAAGACTAGAGTTGATATAATCATAGAGTGATTTTTGTCTCACAAGTAGTTCTTCCTAATTAGAAACACAAGCTCACATTTTCTATTGAGAATTACATAAGGGTACATTTAGTGAAAGGAAAATGAAAAACATTAAAATGAAGTAAAAAAGAATACAAAAGTCAAAATAAACAAAAATTTCTTTTACATTTTAACACCTCAAAGGACATTACTATTCTTGGTCTAGCTTGGAAAAAATTCTCATTTTCTACAATCCAAACAAGAATGTACCACTTGTGGAATTTTCTGAGATGAGCCCTAACCCCTGCCACCCTAACTCTCCAAAAAACCACAAGCATCCCTAGCTCCTTGTTTAAGCTCCCACTGTTCACTGTTTATGCTGCCCCTCCTCCTCTCTTCTCTTAAAACTCTCATTCTAATAAACATTATTTATAAACTAAAAGAGTTCAAGCCCTTCTTCCTCAATAAAGTCTTCCTGACAATTCCCGCCCACAGTTATTTTTCCTTTTCTGAACCACTCATTTGCCACTTAATCATATATGGTGCTTTGTGATCTCCTTATTTATTTATTTATTTCCTTCCTTCCTTCCTATGGTGCTTTGTGATCTCCTTATTTCCTTCCTTCCTTCCTTTGTGATCTCATTTCCTTCCTTCCTTCCTTCCTTTGTGATTTCCTTATTTCCTTCCTTCCTTCCTCCCTTCCCTTCCCCCTTCCCTTCCCTTCCCTTCCAGTTGGAGTTTCACTCTTGCTGCCCAGGTTGGAGAGCAGTGGTATGCTCACGGCCACTGCAGCTTCGACCTGCCAGGCTCAGGTGATCCTTCCACCTCAGTCTTCCAAGTAGCTGGAACTACAGGCATGTGCCACCACGCCTGGCTAATTT